CCTCTCCTCGTCCTCTCCTCTTCCTCTCCTCTCCTCTCTCTCCTCTCCTCTCCTCTCCTCTCCTCTCCTTCCTCCTCCATCTCCTCCTCCTCGTCCGCCTCCTGCCGCGCTCACTGCTTTCGTCTTCCACCTTGCGGCTCCCTGGGGGGGCTGCGAAGTGCGCAATTGTTGCCACTTTCGTGGGCTCCTGTGAGGTCCAGCGGAGGGGAATTGTAGACAGATCGCGTCGAGACCTCGCTGGTCCCTGAGGGGGCTGCGAACTGCGCAATTGTCTCCACTTCCGTGGGCTCCTGTAGATCCAGCGGAGTGGAGTTGTAAACGGATCCCGTCGAGACCTCGTGGGTCCTTGGGCCCCCCTGAGGGGGCTGCGAACTGCGCAATTGTCTCCACTTCCGTGGGCTCCTGGTAGATCCAGCGGAGTGGAGTTGTAAACGGATCCCGTCGAGACCTCGTGGGTCCTTGGGGCCCCCCTGAGGGGGCTGTGAACTGCGCAATTGTCTCCACTTCCGTGGGCTCCTGGTAGATCCAGCGGAGTGGAGTTGTAAACAGAACCCGTCGAGACCTCGCGGGTCCTTGGGGCCCCCCTGAGGGGACTGCGAACTGCGCAATCGTCTCCACTTCCGTGGGCTCCCGGGAGGTCCAGCGGAGTGGAGTTGTAAGCGGATCGCCTTGAGACCTCGCGGGTCCCTGGGGGGGCTGTGAGCTGCGCAATTGTCGCCACGTTCGTGGGCTCCTGGGAGGTCCAGCGGAGTGGAGATGTAAGCGGATCGCGTTGAGACCCCGCGGGTCCGCGCGAACTTTGCAACCGTCGCCACGCTCGTGGGCTCTTGGGAGGTCCGGCGGAGTGGAGTTGTAAGGGGCTGCGAGCTGCGCAGTTGTCGCCATTTTCGTGGGCTCCTGGGTGGCCCGGCGGAGTGGCGGGCTGTCACGCGGACCCTGTCGAGACCTCGCGGCCCTCTGGGGGGCTGCGAACTGCACATCTGTTACCACTTTGGTGGGCTCCTGGGGAGGCCCTGCGGAGTGGTGTGTCACGCGGACGCTGTCGCGACCTTGCGGTTCCTTGGGGCTGTGAACTGCGCACTGCGGGTCGTTCAGCATGTTCGTTTGTATCGAGCGGTCCGGAGTACAGTCGTCACATGTTGAGGAAGGGTTGGGTACGTCCCTGGGTACTTATTGTTCGATCCTTCCAGACTAGGTGCTGGATGTATTCGAGGCCAGGGCGTTGTCGGCGCCGATGACTCTGTCGCCGTCGCCGTCGCCGCCGCCGCCGTCGGCGCCGTCGTCGTCGTCGTCGTCGTCGTCGTCGTCGTCGTCGTCGTCGTCGTCGTGGTCGTCGTCGTCGCCGCCGTCGTCGTCGTTCTCGCCGTCGCCGTCGCCGTCGGTGTCGTCTGCGCGTCGCATTTGCGTCGTATTTGCGTCGTCTTCGTCGTCGCCGCCGCCGCCGTCGTCGTCGTCGTCGTCGTCGTCGTCGTCGTCGTCGTCGTCGTCGTCGTCGTCGTCGTCGTCGTCGCGTCGTCGTCATCCCGCCAGCGTTCCCGAATGCGCCCTCTGCGGCGCGGCGGCGCGGGGGGTCCCAGGCAGACACCGAGGCCGACTTCTTCGTCAGTGCGCCCCCCCCCCCCGCCGCTGCCTTCTGGGCCACGACCTCGAGCGGCGAACCCAGACCCTCCTCCTCCTCCTCCTCCGCCTCCTCCTCCTCCTCCCCTCCTCTTCCTCCTCCCTCCCCTCCTCCTCCTCCTCCTCCTCCTCCTCCTCCTCCTCCTCCGTCGTGCAAGAAGTAGCGACGGAAGGCTTGGCCATTTTGGGCTTCCTCGACTCCCCGCCTTGCACTGGGGCTGTCCATGACGGCTCGGGCGTCAAGCATGGCTTGGCCCAGACCCCTGGGCATCCGTGGAGAGAGGAGGGGTTCGCCATGAAGGGAGAGAGGTCCCGCGAGAACGTGTCCCAGATGCAGGGGCTTTCCCCAGGACCGGCTCTTCATCGCGTGCCCCCCCCTGTCGGCGGCCCGTGGAGGCCCCGGGGGGCCCGAGATCGGCAAACGGCATGCGGGGCCCAGGACCTCCTCCCTCCAGGACCCGATTGTCTTCACGCTAAGGGGAGCGGGGGGGGGGGGGGCCAGAGGCCCCCCTGCCACTCTTCTTGTCCCTGGCTTCCACGACATCCAGCTCTGGGTCAGAGAGGCTCTGGGGGGACGTGACGCGGTAGCAGGAGGAGGAGGAGGAGGAGGAGGAGGAGGCGGAGGAGGGGGAGGAGGAGGATAACCACAACCGGGAGGGGGAGGGGGCAGAGGCGGTGGTGGCGGATGTCGAAGATCCTCAGGACGGGTGTCAGCCCAGTATGTGTGTGTGTGTGTGTTTACCCCATCGCGATCGCACACAGGCTGTGTCGACCCTCGTTACGCCACCCGTGTCGTGTCGGAGGGCTTCGGTGGACAAGCACACGTCAACGCTAACACACCTTCTGAGGGCCATCGAGCGTATCTTCTCGGGGCGCTTCCGCGTGGCACGCTCCCCACCTGTATCCGCAGCCGCCCCCGCTCGAGCTTCGGTCTTAGTTCCGCAGTAGCTCCGAACGAGCATGAGCGCTCCCCTCAGAGGCGCCGCGCCTTCCCCGCTCGCGCTCAGCACCGGCATCCTGGGGTGTGCGGCGGTCTATGCTGGAGGCTCGCGCCACTCCGCCAGCCACCGCGCACGGGAACGGCGACGTCTCAGGTCGGCTGGTGGTCGGTGAATTGCAGAGTGCGGGAGAAGGCGGGAAGGGATGAGGAATCTCAGGATGATGAGGGGTAGGAGGAGTAGGAAGAGCGTGGTGATGTTGCTGCTGCTGCTGATGTTGCTGATGTGGCTGGTGCGGCTGCTGCTGCTGCTGCTGAGGCGATACTGATAATGGTGATGATGATGCTGATGATGCTGATGATGATGATGATGCTGCTGATGATGATGATGATGATGATGATGATGATGAGAGTGATGATGATGATGCTGCTGCTGCTGATGATGATGATGATGATGAGGGTGATGATGCTTATAATGATGGTGCTGATGATGCTGATGATGCTGATGCTTATGATGATGATGTTGATGACGCTTATGATGATGCTGATGCTTTTGATGATGATGATGATGATGCTGCTAATGATGATGACAATGATGATGATGATGATGATGATGATGATGATGATGGTGCTGGCGAAGATGATGATGATGATGATGATGATGATGATGATGATGATGATGATGATGATGATGATGACGATTTTGATGATGACGATGATGATGCTGCTGATGATGATGCTTATGACGATGGTGCTGCTGATGATGACGATGATGATGATCATGATACTGATTTTGATGATGACGATGCTGATGATGCTGATGATGATGCTGATGATGAGGATGATGATGAAGATGAGGAGGAAGAGGGAGGAGGAGGAGGAGGAGGAGGAGGAGGAGGAGGAGGAGGAGGAGGAGGAGGAGGAGGAGGAGGAACGTGGGGAGACAGAGGACGAGGAGGAGTGTAATGATAATCGATAAACGTTGTGATTATGGTTGCAAAGAGGGCATGGACTTTGCATGGCTTGGGCGCGGCCCTGCGGGTGACCTAGGACCTAGGATATGCAGTCAAATCGTGGAACTGAGGAACAGTTCTTGTCCAGAAGGGTTCCTGTCACGGTCGTTCCTCCAGCGTTCCTGTAGGGGCCCGACAGGGGCCCATGCACTCATTTGGAACTCCTTTTGGCAGCAGGTCGACCGTGGGGCAGGTTCGCGCGGTGACGGCTCATGCGCTGGTCTCTGACGCCGCGCGGACCGCGCAGCCCTGAGCGATCGCGGCTGCCCGATGCCGCAGAGCGCTCGAGGTCAGCTAACTCCAGGCCGCTGGCTGCGCTCAACCTTCGGGAGCCTCGAGACGGCGGGGGTCAGCCAGAGCGCCCAATCTTGCAAGATCCTGCGGGGCCACGGTCGCACTGACCCGGGCTTGGGTACAGGAGCCTGCCGGATCTTGCAGGATCCTTCGCGAGGACCCGGGCGTGGGTGCAGGATCTCGCAGGATCCTTCGCGTTGACCCGGGTTTGGGTGCGGGATCTTGCAGGAACTTGCAGGATTCCGCGAGGCCTGACTGGGCCTGGACTGACCCGGGTCGGAAGATCCAAGAAGCCTTGAGCATTCGCGCCGGGGCCGTCTCGTCGCGTGAGCGCGGCGCGAGCCTGCCGTGAACGAAGACAACCCTGAACACTGCCCGTGATCGTGCGTGTTATTCACCACCCACCAAACCACCCCAATTCAACCCGAAGGCCTCAGCTTACCCTCCATTTCCAGTGGGGGGGGGGTTGGGGGAAATTGGAAAAACACATGAAACCCGTACCCCTCCCCAACCCGAAAGTCGGGCGAAATTCGGGTCTTCGGGTTGGGTTAGGGTGGCTTGGTAGCTAGTCAGTTGTGCGCGAGAGTCGTTTTAAGCATGACGAGCTGCCTTCCCCGGCTGGGAACGCGTGTTGCTGCTTATGAGTTCCGAGGCGGGAATTTATACATGACCACCGCCTGGAGGGTCAGTTTTCGGAGCCTCGGCAGGCGGTGGATATGGACATATTCGGGCCCCTGGGGGCCGAACTGTATATCCGTATCCACCGCCCGATGGGGCACCAGGACGTCGGTTCCCAGGCGGTGGATATGGATGAATTCCCGCCTTGCATCAGTGTCGCTCACAGGCGCCGACAGACGCTGATAGACACCGACGGGCGCCAGCAGGCGCCACTAGGCACTGGTGGGCGCTAGCAGTGTGATATGGGACACTGATGGAGACCAACAGGCGCGAATCGGGCCGAGCCAATCTTCAGCTCCCTCTCGTCCATAATCATGCGCAAACGTGGTTCCCGCACTGCGCGTCTCAAGTCGGGCCTGTCCCTCTACAGGGGGAATCTGTAATAATAGATAAGAGCATAGTCTTGGGACTATCTTTGGAGCACTTTTGGGCATCGTGTGAGTATTTTTTGGAGCATTCTTAGTTCTCCGCCCAATTATGCCCCTGTGAGGGGGACTGGCCCGACCTGATGCCCGCCGCGCCACGCTCGCGTCCTCGGCCCGAACCCTGGCCCGAGGGCACGGCGCGCCTCCCCGTGGGCCCGTGGCCGTGCCCGCGGCCAGGCGTTCCGACAGCGCAGGTCGCTGGGCGCAGCACTGCCCGACGGCTCTCCGACGGGGCGCTCCCCACGGCGTGAAAAGGCACGACCAGAGCCCCAGATCCAAGCTGTCTGCGCCATTTTTCGAGCAGGGTCGCTCTGCGAGGGACCCAGGGCCCAGAACCAGTGAGGCGTCAGGACAAAACAGGGTCCGGTGCTCTCGACAGCGCCAGCAGCCCGATACAGTGCTTCCCGATAGCTTCCCGACGAGGCGCTCCTCACGGCAGCAGCTCCCTAGGCTTCCCAGATGGGCTCCGAGCAGATGGGGTCGGAGGCTCGCGTCGCATCGCCGACGCATCAGCGATGCGGCTCGATGCGGAGCCCCATGCTCTCCGCGCCGACGTCGCCGATGCATCCATCGGCTATAGGCTTATGCGGCGCGATCCGTCGTGCGGGCCAGGTTTACATCCATGTTATCTGTGTCCGGGACTTCCTGGGAAGGGGCGCCGAAAGGCCTTGGCGCAGTGGACATGGGCAAACATCTGCCTTTCGGGGCTAGATCTTTCTCCACATTCACCGCGCCTCTCGGTCACTGGAGCAGGGTGGCCGAGGCTCCAAGGTCAAGATGCAGTGGAGATGGACACAACTCCTGCCTGCATCTGCGGCGCGATTCTTCGACCCCATCTGCGCGGACCCCACTTGGGAGGCCTCTCAGCTTGTGTTTATGCGTGTTTTTTCCCACACACTGTGTTTTTTTTTTTTTTTGTGTGTGTGTGTGTGTTTTCCCCCACAGTGTGTGTTTTTTCCTGCAGTGTGTGTGTGTGTGTGTGTGTGTGTGTGTTTTTCCAACAGTGTTTTTTCCCACAGTGTTTTTTTTTTCCCACAGTTTTTTTTTGTTTTTTTTTTTTTTGTGTGTGTGTGTGTGTTATTTTAGTGTGTGTGTTTTTTCTGTGTGTGTGTGTTTTTCCCACGGCCTCCAGGGCGGCGCCCCCGCCCCTCGTGCGCTGCGCCGCACGCCTCGAGCCGCCCCCCGCGGCAGTGCCCCTCTTCGATGCGACCGACCCACTGTGTCGGCCTCTGCGGGCACGAGGGATGTCCATGTCCACTACTTCTTGTTCGGTGCGTGCGAGAATCATCGAGAAGCCTGGGTGTAAGAACTTTCAAGAATCTTGGCATCGCTCGAGCGTGTGCATTCTTTCTCGGCGAGAACCACCGAGGACCATCCTGGACCATCGAGCAAAACAAACACGCACGAAGCCGAACAATGCACGGGAAATGGACGTCCGAGCGACGGCCAGGAAGGGGGCGTGCGAGAACCATCCAGAAAGCGGGACCCGCGCGGTCGCAGCAGCCCGCGAAGAGGGCGCGCCCCGGCGCATGCTGCCCCTGACCCTCGGACCCGCGGACCCTCCCCAGGCACCCGAGGCGCAGTGGACATGGATACAGTCAAAAACCCGAAGAAGGACGCGCGGCTTTGCTCAGGGTACCCTTGCGTCCTTGCTCTTCCTTGCTCTTGCGTCCCTGGGGGGGTTTTCGTCGTCCGCCGCCCCCAAAAATCCCAACTTCGGCCTCCAAGGGTCTTGCGTCCTTCCCGCGCGTCCTTCTTAGGGTTTTTGACTGCATGCCACCCCGGGGGCAGGGCCCGTTTCGATCCGGCCGATCCGGTTCGACAGCGATATTTTGGCCAGCTCGATCTGGAGCCAGCGGAGGGTCTGCGTTGGCCCATTCTGGTTCGGCCAGCGAGGAGGGGGGGAAAGAGGTTCTCGGTTTTGCCAGCCTCGAACGTATCCCTATCCCTAAGATTGACACGCCAAAAGGCGATGACAGTCTTAGGGATGCGCCCTCAAAAGATAAGGGAATCCCTGAGATTGGCATCGTGACGAGGAGATGCCCAGCATAGGGATAGGGGTATGTTCCAGGCTGGTAACGGTTCTCGGTTCGAGAAGGTTTCCTGCTTCTTTCGGTCTCCAGGGACAGCTTTCGGGCCGCGGGGCCGTCAGCAATGTAGCCAGGACGAAGCATCGTACCAGATGGACCCCAGGAGGGATCCAGGGCCCGATTTTGAGCGGATTCTGACTGCGTCCCTCCCTCTTGAGTAATTGTTCGGGGCCCCATTGAGTTCAGACCCCCCAGCCGCCTCTCATGTCGATCCGATCCGATTCCGATATGCCGACGCTCCGATGCGGCCCGATGCGCTTGCACGGCGCCGTCGTGCATCCTGGCGCGGCCGATCCGATCCGAGACCTACTCCGTGCCGATGCGGCCCGATCCGACGCACGTTCCGGCCCAGTTCGATTTTGCGACTCGATGCTGGCTGATCTTGCCCCCGAGCAGTGTGGGGGGCCCGCGGATTGGTACCGCCGGAACAGGTCCACCCTGAACCCCGCCAGGGACCCCAAGGATAGAGGAAGAAAAAATTGCTTTGGCATCGTTCTTGGATCGACGTTGGGCCTTCTGGCGGCGCGTCCGGCGCCGCCAGAAGGTGCGCTCCACGCGGCAGGGAGGGGGGCCCAGCGCCGATCCAAGAAATCCGCGCGGGCCTCCGAAAGTTTATGCTTATCCGGCTTTCTGTTCCTCCAGAAGTCGGCGACTTCAGAGGGGTGCGGTGACGCCGGGGTATGATCCGCGATCTGCGACATTGTGGTCTGGGGGGCGCCACTCTGCTCTCGTCGGGCCTCGGGGGCGGCAGGGAACTCTGCCGAGGTCCCCGCCCGCCCCCACGGGTGCGGGTTGCGAGCCGCACCCTCCGCAAACCACACCCGTCGGCTTGGTAGCAACTCATGGGAGCCTTGTATACCCTCCTAAGTCCGTCCTTGGCGTGAGCTAGCGTCATTTAGCGTCTGGTAATCGATGAGGTAACCGCGATTTAGCTTCGATCAGCGTCGATCAGCTTCGATTCGCAAGCGCCAGCAAGATTGTGTGGGAGACTCCAGTATCCGCCGCACAATGCAGACACCCTCCAGTGGATTGTTCCTAGGCCTCGGGGGACGGCGGCTGTGCATAAATTATCACTGAGAGCCAGCGACTTTATACACCGCCGCCCTCCCTGAAGGTACACAAAACTAGTCGGAGGGTGTCTTTGTATACATATATATATATATTCTTCGCTCAACTCTGAACGATCGGGGCCGCGATCGATTCAAGGTTGGACGATCCACGCGCTGTCGAAACCCTTTACGCGCGCCAACGCTTCACGAGTCTACCGTATGTTTATTCACGCCGGTCGTTGAAGTAGGTATTTTCGGATCCCCAGATCCCGATCAATTCTGGCCGCCCTCCTACTCCGAACATTGAACGGCCTTTTCTCGTTCCTCCTCAGGGGGCGGGCGGAAACTCAGTCTACTTCAACGCCTTCCTGTTTCATGGCTCTACCCTTTTCTTCCGACCGACGGGCATATCCGTCGGGACATGGGGCAGGAGTGGGGAGGGAGGAGGAGGAGGGGGAGGAGGAGGGTGAGGAGGGGGAGGAGGAGGAATTATAAAAAGTAATAGTAGTGATAAGCAGACGATGAAGAAGACGACGACGAATGCTAACAAGAAGAAGACTCAGTGCAAGACGATTCATACTACGATGCGTAGTAATACTAAGAAGCAGACTCGGAGGCATAACAATAAGACGAGTAATATTAATACGACTAATATACTCGTACTAACATGAGAATATTAGTACAGAGCGCATCGAGGGTTCATGCTATTCATAACAGTACGAAAAACACGACGCGTAATAACGTGCACACTACGAATAATCCCACTACTAATACTATTATTACGCATACGGATAATACTGGCAAGGATTTTACACATTCATAAACGAATAACCAGTATACTAAGATGATTGAACTTCATGCCGCTAAGATCAATACCATTACGCATACTGTTAACAAAATTATACTACTCAGAAGAGGAGGAGGAGAAGGAGGAGGAGGAGGAGGAGAAGGAGGAGGAGGAGTGATGAGGAGAAGCAGGAGGAGGAGGAGGAAGGAGGAAGAGGGGGAGGAGGAGGAGGAGGAGGAGGAGGAGGAGGAGGCGGAGGAGGAGCAGTAGCAGGAGCAGGAGCAGGAGCAGTAGGAGGTCGAAGGAGGAGGAGGAGGAGGCGGATGAGGAGGAAAAGGAGGAGGAGGAGAAGGAGGAGGGGGGATGAGGAAGAGGAGGAGGAGGAAGACCAGCGGAAACCAAGGAGTCATCAACGATGTTGGAATTCACCCTCCGTTCAAGCTCCCACTTCAGAGGCCACTACAACGGTTCATTCCCATTGGGGGATTTGCCTCGTTTGAAGACAGTAGTGTAAAGATCCTGATGCGTGCCAAAACATTGTTCTCGGGAGTTCAGCGCCACGTATCAATTTGACTGCTGCGTCTTGACCATACAGGATCGTGCCGGAACGCAATTTTTCGGGACTTCAACACAGCGAATCAACATAATTCTTTGCGCCTGCATAATCCTGAATCCTCCAAACACCATTTCTGGTACGTTGACCATGGGAACCCGTGAAACTTTTGCAGAGTTTTTAAATCGAATGTGCGCGGCGCTATGGCGAGAACCACATTTTGAAAAGGAACCGCCCTCAATCCGTGAAGCTCTTGCAAGTTGATAGAACGAATCTGCGCAGCGCTAAGGCGAGAGCAACATTTTGAAAGCCAACCGCCCTCAATCCGTGAATCTCTTGCAAATTGATAAAACGAATGTGCGCGGCGCAAAGGCTAGAGCCACATTTTGGAAAGGAACCGCCCTCAATCCGTGGAACTCTTGCATTTTTTGAAACGAATGTGCGCGGCGCTAAGGCGAGAGCCACATTTTGAAAAGGAACTGCCCTCAATTCTTGAAACTCGTGCAAGTTGATAAAACGAATCTGCGCGGCGCTAAGGCAAGAGCCACATTTTGAAA